ATTTGGGGAAAAATGGCCGCTCCCAGACTCAGTGATCGCAATAAAATATTTAGTTTTATTTTTTTCACGGATTAACGCTAAATTCAATAAATCACTGCGACCGTATTAGTTGTAGGAATAAATAATGATCCATTGATTATTCCTTGCTGACCAGACTTTTCCAACCTCTTATTTCTGTATAAAAGTGTATAAAGGCTTGGCTCTACTCCATTCAGCCAAGGTACGGTTATTTTCCATTACCAGAGCCTCCCACCAACCTGTGGGTGGGGTTGTCAGAGCATAGCGGGCCAACAAGTACAACCATTTGAGTTTTTAAAAAAAAAGCAACACTTTTAGCTACCTATGTAATTTGTCATCAGCAGACAAAAACAAAAGTGACTGAAATCAAAACTGTGCTGCAACAAGTTTCTTTAAAAGCTGTGATAATGTTCAGTTATTGCTGCCAGTTATTTAAAATGCCTAACCCATGAGAGGCTGGGCTATCTAGCTAACGGCAAAATAACTGAGCTTTGCAGACAAGCAGCCGATTGTCTAGATGAGCTGGAAGAAGAAGGAAGCCTGAAAAACTTGTTGCATTGGAAATAACTGCATGAAGTGTATTGGCTAGAGCCTGTTTAGTTGCTTCATTATCTTTATGGCTACTACTGACAGGTAGAAGAACATTACTAAAGGGTCAGAGTGACATCACAACCCATCAGTCATTTATCTTTTCAGACAGCGAGGTCCAAGCCTTTCTTCAAATATTCCATCTAGTTTAACAACTACTGGGAAATTAAAGAACGTAGAAACAATGGCAGGTTCCTTTGGGAAAATCTATATTATGATTTATCAGTTATTCCTCTAGACTAAATATCTGGGTTAATTATTCCTATTAAAATGTTCGCTACACAAAAACACAAAGGTCAACAAACCTTTGTGCCGTTCTAAAATAAAGGCTGCCATTGATCCAGCATTCCTCTATATGATAACTATATATTAGAGGAAGAACAGATTTAATGTTCTGATTGATTGATTCATTCAAATATTAGACACAAAGCTTAGATAACACATCGGAAAGCACAACACCACATATTGCTGGCCTTACCTTGTCTACAGGAAGCGGTAATGGAGCCTGGATGACACTGGAAAGAAAGGAAAACAAGGTTCAACACCATGGAAACAGCAGGAAGGAAAAACATGGAGTAACCACAGCGTCAAGGAAGAAAACTTAGATTTATTTTGTTTACAACCAGAAATTTAGTTTAAAACAGCTCTATACAATTTCATTTTTTGAAGTGCAGCCTTGAAAGCGGTAATAAATGTTTATCAGTAATAATAACTTGAGAACATAACCTGTTCCTGAAGGTTATAACAGCGAATAATAGAAAAGGTTTCTATTCTATTCTATTCAGTAAAGGGATTGCTGAAGAGTCATTGAGTCGATGCAATCAACTGCTTTAACTTAGATAGAAAACTTTGAATCAATGTGACTGGATGATCTGGTTGAATTGTATCTGTAAAGATCCTTGAGATGACGTGTTGTGAATTGGTGCTATAGAAATAGACTAATTGAAGCAAGTTTACTTTTGGGTGACCTAAAAACCGATGTTTAATATCTCTGAAACACGAATCGTTTTACATTAACTTTTTCAATTTATGTTTTTATCTTTACCAATAACCATTTTAAATGCCCAAACGTGCACTAATGAAACACAAACCATTTAGTCTAATTGCTAAGTTGTTTTTTTTAACTCAGTGGGGCGTCAGCTTTACTCAGCTGGAGCTCCTCCTATTTTACAATGTGGTCCAGAGTGTAACGACTGCATCCGACGGTCTAAACGCACCATTAGAGACAAGCGGCCTGACCACTGAAACCGTTCAGGGATTTGAGGGCGTTCAGATGACCGGGAGGGAGAATCAATGGCCAAAAGAGAAAAAACGAGAGCAATCAGGGGCGGTGCAGGATTGTTTAGTCCAGCAGCATCCTGCTATTTTCCTGAACCACAGGCATCATTCCGAGAGATTTAGCATGCTCATAAGAACTAGAAACAGTTTTTAAACACAAAATATGGGGGGGTAAGCAGTGAGAAAGTCCAGTTACAGGTGGAGTGAGGTCCACTGCTTCCTGTGTGCAGCGAAAGAGAACAGATTTAATTTTCTTCCCTCTATTCAGAGTTTCCAGCATTTCTATTCATCCCATGCAGCCATCCACTAATCTGTTTACTGAACCGTTTGCTCCAGTTAGATCGGCTACAGGACTGGAACAGCGGTGGCATCCCAGTCCCCCTGAGAGAACTAGTTCCTTTCACATCAGCATCATTCAGCAGAGTGTGTGAAGCCCCCCCGCAGACGAGATATTTAACCGCCTTTATGATCAATGAACTCAATCTAAAAACTCACGTCAGCTCTACCCGATGACTACTTCAACTGTTCAAAGAGCTGAAGCAGCACCCACTGATTCCCCAATGTGACGTCAAATTACACAACTTTAAAAAAAAATGCTGCACAAAAGTAAAACGCTGATGATGCACAGCTTAATTAACAGATGGCCTACAACCTGTGGATTCACGTGCGACGTCCAACTGAAAGAAGAAATGTTGAAGCTGGTGATGCACTGGTAGGAACATTTGGACTGGTATCTGATATTTTCCATGTATTCTCTAGTAGTGTTCTGTTCCAGCGGCTCACAGTCAGTATGAGACCAAACTATGAGCACATGGATTGGTCCAGGTGTCACGGTGACCCAGTCAGGAGGAAAACATCGGCGACACTGGGACATAAAGAGCAGTAGTTCCTCTACAGGAACTTTTCATCTATAAAGCCTCCTTATCATCGGAATTATGTCTGTAATATTTATTCAAAAACTCTGCAGGATGACATATCACCGCAACCTACATAAGGTGACAGAGAATGCAGCAACGTGACTTTTTTGGAGCCTCACCTCTGGAACTGCTGCATTTAAGGAGGAATCAAGCTTCATGATCTAAACATTTCTCAGCTCTACTGGTGTTTTCCTGTGCTCAGTTTCATTTATTTCCACATACAAATGTTTAGCCACTGATAGCCAACCAGAGGAAGTCACTGAGTGTCTGCTTTGCTTTATGCAAATGATCAGTGCTACATTTATAAACAGAGCAATTGACTAAAATACCGTCCACTATGGTCCATTCAGCACGGTGGCATCATCACTAGGGCTGCAACTAACGATTATTTTAAAAATCGATGAATCGGCCGATTATTTTTTCGATTAATCGGACAAAAAAT